TCACATCTCGTTACTAGTTTTCATCAACAAAGCATATAACAATAAATTGGTATATTTAACGAAAAGTTTTCCTAACTCGCATACTAAAATCATAACGAGAACTAATGAACAATTCTCGACTAGCCGACAAGTTCTGACACAAGCATTTACTTACCGATGTCACCACGAGGAAACCGCACTGGATCGATTGCACATAAAGTGTGATGAGGGGACAAGCGTGGCGGGGAAAGGGGGAGAGTAGGAATGCAGAAAAAAATACGTAGGTTTAAGATGGGGTATTACGTAGATTGAGGCACCGAGAAGCTCCTATCGATGAGCTTTCTCAATCGGGTTGCGGTTTCGAACGGCATTACACGAGCGCAGTGGCCGAGTTCAGCTCGTATTATCACAATTCAATTCATTCATTCATTCATCATCATCATCAATTTCTAAACTTATCATGGGATTACAATAATCAAAACACGATTCAATGTAGACAGGGAAGTGCATAGTTGTTAGTGTTGTGCGGTCAAATTTTCACAAAGTCGAAATTAATATATCCCAACTTGTGCATTTTTCTTACTACAGAGCGCCCAAATTCGAATACAGAATACAAATTTATCGGGAATATTACACCTCCCCTCGGATTACATACATCTACGTCTTCAAACAGAAACGCGCTTTGTGACCATCAGATTCAATTCTTTCTGCGTGAGTTAAAAATTGTGTGAGTTGCTGTTCCTTGTTCACCTCTTAACGTATAAGCCTAGCAACCAGTTTGATGGAAACACTTCCTCGAGTGTACAAATGGAACACAAGACAAGAACTAGGAAAGAAATGCACACGAATGTACACACACACACACACACACAAGTACAGGTTGTGGGCAGGACGGAACACTTACCCGAGGACAGTGACCAGTGGAAGTCGAGAGGGCCTTTGTATCATTTGCTGGTAATCCTGGATTCAGTTCCTCCTCGATATTGGATACACCTTAAGTGGTTCGATGGGGAATAAGGAGAGAGAGAGAGAGAGAAGAGTCTCGAGTGATTAGATGAGTACAAAATGGAGAAAACGAGCACACACGCGCGCGGGCGTATTCGTGTGCATAAGTAAGTGGGGCGGAACAGTAACAGTGCTGAGGGAGTAGGCGAGCGAAAATGTTCTCTTCCAATATAGGCAGCCAATTAGGTCACACGATCATGTTTTTTATTACACACCAGTGTGTGATGAACATTAGTCGGAGCGGACCCCATAAACACGAAGGCATGCTGTTCAGTGATGGTAACCGGAAACCTAAGCCCCGGGACTTGGAGTGGCGAACTACATAAGGAACCGCTAGGTCAGGCGTGATATTGAACCGGACGGCAGCAAAGCTCCCCACCACCAAAGTCGGGCTCGAACCTCGGACCACTGGGTCCAAAGCAAGGCGGTGACAGCAACTAAACCACTGTGCCAACACCACCACTGTGATGTATGTGGAACAAATGATGCGGTATCTCACTGTCCTACCCGCTTTTTTGTCTGTTGGCATCGCGTAGTGTTTATTTGGATGATGAGTGAAACACATCAGAAACGCATCAGACAAACAAAACAAATTTAACGGTTGAATGGAAATGAGGACAATTGCAACATTCGTGAGATAATCTCACTGAACATGTGAACCGCTATTCGGGTCACCCGATTGTGACTCGCAACAGTGGTTTGGCTTGCGTTATGAATGGATTCGAATCAGAAGCGAAAAGTTACAACTGGATGACCACAATGTATGCAACAAGTATCAACGAGGGGATGCGCTGCGATGAGACGGGAGGGGGGAGGTGTTCATGCAGATCGAACTCTTATGGCATGACTACCCTTCCCCACCTCCTATGTAGAAATGTATTTCAGTTTCCAACATCACACTTGAATATCAATAACCACGAGTGAATAGCATTTACTACGAAATTGATCTCGGAGTGTAATGTTTCTGATACTATTGTATCAATATTTGAATTGGTGAGATCTTGAGTGTGACGAGAAAATTTTTGAACAGTTCGAAATTTACCGGTCATAATTGAAAATTTTTGAACGTTCATTCGTTCTGATAAATGCATATTGTTTCGGGGGGGGGGGGGGNGTGCTGATTCGAATCAATGCAAGTGATAACACTTCATCCTAATTGATAAATTATGTGGCTATCATGTTGGAAAGTGTTGTTTTAATTGATTGTGTTTTTTTAACTGGTTCGTAGAAAACTTTAATTTTGCAAACCAGACAATCTGATTGGTTCAAGCTTATACATAAACACTTGTAATTCCCCTCCCAAATGTGATTTGTGTCCAGTGCACCAAAAGTATGTGGAGAGCATTTCATGAAGAGCCGACTTTTGACAGTTATAAGCTGCTCAATTAAAATCTCACATCATGAAAGGCGTAAAAGTATATTCCACGGAAGGCGGAAATTGACCCTGAGGTGTGCGGCCCTAGAGGAATGTGTTTTGTAATGCTAGCATGCCCGAACCAAGGGAAAGATCTCGGAGCTTTTACATACAAGCCGATAGGCAACGCATTCGAGAGAGACCCGCTGATTTGATGTTACAATTCCTGACTTGTGCAAGTGCTTCGATGTACACATAGGGAAGTTCTCCATGAAGATATCGAGGCAGAGGAAGAAAACCTGACCATATCGGAGCCATTATAGTAGCGCGCCCCTTGAACGGCTGTGAAACAATACAATGCAACCAAATGATGAATGAATTCTGTTGCAACTGAGAGAAGATATAAACAACCAGTATCCGGGCGGATTAGCTGCAATTTCGTTCGGGAAGTTGCANTGGACATCCAACACAGCAGGACAAGGGATTAATTTTCCCAACAAATTCGAATCACATCGACAGCCCTGTTGGCTTCCACTTTATATCATTGACGAAGATCTAGTGACCGATGAGCACGACAGCTAAGAAAGGTGATCTGTTGGCCGAATTTTGCAAAGCCCACCTCACCAGTCATTAAAAAGATAAACATTCGTGACGCCTGATAAGCTGGGTGACGAATGAACAGTTTACCTCCCGTACCCCAGAGATAGTGCACAAATTCGGTGCACTGATCGAGTGTGTTTTCGGTGACTATCGCGCTCGCAGTGCATTTGGATAAAGTCAAATTTTCCAAGATTCAGCTCTATGTGACATCTGACGCGAAGTAACACGCTTTTGGACCCCAGTAGGTACTGCTTTTTCATATTTATGCCGTTTCTGAATCGGCATGTTCAACAATTGAATTCCTTCACTTTTTATCCAACAGCCCGGATCCGAAAGTAGTGGAAAACTGTTTCCTGTGTTGGGAAGAAAGATAAGTGATCTACCTCAACAGCGATCATCAATGGCTAGCAGGAAGCATGTCTTAGAGACTTAGAATTTGCGGGTGAAAGCCATTCGTCGACTAGTTTCCTTCGAAAATTGATGCTTACGTAGTTTGACCCAAGTGGGATGGAGTGAGCGGGTTAGTCACCTAGAAGTAAGTCGTCGGGTGTTTGGGAATGCATCGAACAAGAACTTGATATCGCATCGAATCCAGCTGAATAGGCTTCGTTGGTTAGGACACGTATTGCGTATGTCCCACGGTCATCTACCACAGCGCGCCTTGTTTGCATTGGCTGTTTCAGACTGGAGAAAGTCACGTAGAGGCCAGCAGATGACGTGGAAACGAGGCATGAAGAAATGCACCGAGCGATTAGGCAGAGTAGGTGTCTCTCGTCTTCGGGGTTGGGGTCCAAAAGACTCAATAACCACATGGTTGG